TTCACACGTGAGTTCTTTCACCCTCCCGACCGCGTCCCGCAAGTCTCCCCCGCTGCAGCTCAGAGGTTCTTTGAGGACGGTCGTAGGTTCCCAGCTTCCGCGTACGAAGAGCACAGCCTTCTGTGGAGGGGCTCCTCCTGGCGGGTGCCCTCCCCAGCCGAACGCTCCATGATGCTCGGCGTTCCTGCGTCGGCTACTGCTGCAGTCGATTTGGAGGGTCCTCGCCGCACTCAGGTTCGTAACTCGCTCCTCGGTAATGGCTTTCACATTCCCAGCATCATGTGCATTTTGTCTTTGCTGGTCTGTCTGTGTGATGCCAAGCCGCGCCTTCTTCAGCCTTCGCCAGACTGGGAGCTCAGGGCCAGGCTCCATCATACCGTGTGGGAACCAGGATTCTTGGAGTCTTTGCCGGACCTGTTGGGACCTGAGGATGTTGTGCGGGACATGCGCTCACAATTCCCACGAATCCCGGTTCCCGACAGTGTGTGGCATGATGTATCTCGGCGTCTGCATTCCTGCAATTTGCTTTTGCCTCAGGCGTTTACGGCTTTTGCACGGGGCCGTGGCCTCCAGTGGGATGTTCTCCCGCCGCATGCTCTTTCTGCAAGGGATCGCACACGTGTTTTCGCGGGCAATGGAGGCCAGCGCTTCTCTTCGGAATCCGCTCGCGGGCTAGATTTTGTGCTGCCTCCAGGCCTCGGCAAGCACGACCACATGCGGCACGCGGCTGAGCTACCTTCTCCTTTCGCGCCACGCCCTTGGCCCGAGGTCGATGTTGCTTTCGTCGCGGAGTCTATCCGTGTGTGGCGGCACGATCTCCCCTTGCTGGCATCTCGACAACGGCATGTGCTCCGTACATTGTGCGTCGCTGTGAAACCGCTTCTCTTGGTACTTGACAAGTTTCGGTGCGAGTCCTCCAAGCGTGTCGCATCTTTGAAGAACCCGGCTTTTCTGGCATGCATTACTGCACTTCTGCGTTGGCCAGATTTCCAGCAAGCTGAACAGTTCGTTCTCGGTTTCCCGATTGTTGGTTCTTTGGATCATTCGGGGGTCTTTCGTCACGTGTCGTGTGGAGGCGACGACTTTGAGGACCCGGAGTCGTGGCTCACACGTGAGGGTATCTGTGCAGTGGACTCCTTGCTGCAAAAGGGCCCACCGCGAGACCACGCCCTCATCCTTGAGGTCACGCTTCAAGAAGTCGATAAAGGTTTCTGCAGCGCCTTGATGACACGCCAAGAAGTTGACAATCTGTTCGGCCGCGGGCGTTGGCGCCCGTTGGAGCGCTTCGTCATCCACCAAGCCGACAAGAGCAGGGTGATTGACAATGCCAGGCGGACGGGTCACAATTGCCATACTGACATGCCGGAAACGATCCATACAGTCAGTGTTGACTTTGTGGCTTGCTGTATCCGCGACGTTCTACGCTGCCTGGAGCCGTCGCAGCACTCTGCGCGACCAGTCCTTCCTGAATGGTTGGACGTCCGAGTGGGCACGGACGACCTCCCTGACGCCTACCGAGGACACCCTGTGGCTGCAGAGCACCTTCGCTTCAGCATTGTGTCTCTCTGGGTTCAGGGTCAGGGGTGGCGCTTTAGTCTTCTTTGGGGTCTCGCCTATGGTTTAGAGAGCGCCGTTGTCTCCTTTAATAGGCTTCCCCTGCTAGGCATTGCTGCATGTAGGCGCATGGCCAGCTGTATGTGCGCGGCATACTTTGATGATGAGCTTTCTGTTGAATTCTTGCGTGACGCGGACGTGTCACAGGCAGGTCTTCACACCGTGTTTCAGCTTCTAGGGTCCCCGCCTCAGCCCAAGAAACGGTTTGCACCTGCTCATGATCGTTGCTACCTTGGCACATCTGTACATGTTGGCGATTGCCTGCACTCCGGCTTTGTGCGCGTTCAGGCTAAGACATCTTCTCAGGCTAAGGTTCGTGACCGTCTTGATGACGTCACTCAAGCCCGAGAGATGAGTCGGGATGAGGCTGGCAAGCTTCGGGGAGACTTGCAGTGGCTTTTCAGTACCTGTACGGGCTACTCCGCCAAGTACGCGGGGCCGCTCTTGACCCGCTTCCAGACAGGTTCAAGCCCTTTGCTGTCTGAAGCGGACGTGCTGGTCTTGCAGTCTCTTCGAACGCTGGCGCTCACCGCGGCACCCAGAGAAATCCGAGTGTGGGGGAAATCGAGTCCTTGCACCCTCGTGTACACGGATGCTTCTTTCGAGTCCTCGGAGCTTCGTCTGGGCTGGATCATATTCCTGCCGCCGCCATGGCGACCGCATGGAGGTACGTGCGTCGTGCCGGACCATGTGGTGCAGCAGTGGATTCCGCGCAAGCAGCAGATTTACCTTGGTGAGACCTTGTGTGCTCTCGTGCTTCTTTTGCTGTACCCTGGCCACTTCCGCGACACTGATTGCCTGTGGTTCATTGATAACCAAGCTTCTTTAGTCGCTTGCATTTCGGGCGGCAGTCGAGAGCAGGATGTTCATGAGGTTGCACACATGTCTGCCATACTTCGATCCAGACTCGGCATGCGCATCTGGTTCGAGTGGGTGGACTCTGACTCCAATCCATCAGATGGATTGAGCAGAGATGGGCTCTGCGACGTTTGGTCGCAAGCTCAAGACTGGCACCTCGAAGAAGTGCCTTTCCCAGTTGCCGCAGAGCGGCATAGACTTCAGGCCGACTTGCTTTTGGAGTGAAACAGTGGGTATTCGAGCGTGTTGCACTTTCACATCACACGTATGTTAGTGCATATGCTTTGAAACAGTGGGGTTCTCACGTCCCAGATATATCGCTTGTCGGATATCTGTGCGACTGTGGTGCTGTGCTTCGTCCAGCTCTCAGGTTTCCTTCTCACAGGTACCTGTTCAGCCCATCTGTCTTTGACAGTAGGCTCTCCCTCTTTCACTCTTATAGCAGTCT